CCCCCCTCCCCCACCTCACTCGGTGTGGAAACTTCAGATAAAGAGATGCAGATATGGGTTTTCTCTTCTCGAACAGCCCTAGTTCGTATTGCAGTTTTTGGATACAATAACCGTACCAACAAAAAGCTGACCTTTGACGAGAAATGACAAAGGAGTTATTCTACCGTTAGACTTGACAGATTATGCGCGTGGTTCACTCTCTTGCATATACATACATACACACACCGACAGGCAGACAGACAGACAGAGACCCCAAAATAAGCCACCCTCCGGGACATATCCCCGAGGGAATCTCATGTGTGTGTGTGTGTGTGTGTGTGTGTGTGTGTGTGTGTGTGTGTGTGTGGGTGTGTTAATTAAGCTGAATCATAGATGATGATGATGCGAGAGAGGTCACACAAACACCCTGCAATAAGGCACAACTTAACGCATAATTTCTTTCAGGTCAAGTACCACTACGCAACCTCCTCTCTTCCAATAGCGTCGAAGGCGCTTTTATTTTCTAGGAATTTATAACGCATAGCCTCTCGAAATGAGAACACCTAAACTAAACTTCGAAAATCCACCAAGAGTGTAATATGTCATCTCAAGGAAATTTGAGTGAAAACTGTGAACTGCAAAGTTCCTCCCCTCCCCCCCCAACCTCTTCCACTTCTTCAAGCACGTTTGCAGTAAAGAGAAAAATTTATTAGAACCATCGAAGACGCAATGATCAAAAAAGACTTACATAGCTCAATTGAAGATTCCGTTAAGTTATACAAATGATAAATTTTACTGACTCCCATCTCTAACCTTGCTATTAAATCCACTGTGGTCCTCTTTGGAGGTAACGACACCTTCACCGATGTACTAAGAATTTGGGGAAATGGAGGGACCAATTCCAAGGTCAATTTCTCTCTGCCTCTTCCCCCTAATTATTTACTTTCAAAAGTACATCCACCACCATCTAACTAAACGGATTTTGTAACTTTAATTAATTTAGTTCACTCTGAGTAAACATATTTGTGAGTTCTGCTCTCCATGCTATATAGGGAAAGACTGCAACCTACAACACTAAATTAACAATTTATTGGGGAGCTATGCCATCCTTGATAAAATAGCCATTTTTTGGTCGATATCTTATAGTGTCTCTAAGTACATTCTTGCATTCCATCATCTTTCCGGTTCTTGTGGCCTATTCGCCCCATTGGATGTTCGTGTCAGTGCCATTTGACGTACAGATTCGCCATATTTTCCAATGGCTTCTCAATAAATAATCACCCCCACTGGGCGTAATCAGTGCATACATACGGGCGCAAATACCCCTTCTTTTACAGGGAACTTATTCTTCCTCCAAAGTTTCGATCTGCGTAAATACCGACTTGCCCGCCC